CTGACTCAGGAATCTGGTCTGTACTACCCCCCAGTCACAACCCCCAGTGCCGTGCTTCTGTCCTGTCTGCCAAGAGATCTGGGGGGGGGGGGGGGGGCTAGGCTTGCGCTGGATTAAGTTCATCAGGTTTGCAAAGTGCTGGAGCCATTTGTTGGTCCTCTTCTCTTGGCAAAGATGCTGTTACTCCAGCCAGTGACACTGAGGTGAACCAAGGATAAACCCATCATATGGGAATCGATACTAAGAATGTTCCACTGCAGGAACACACTGTGGTGTTTCCTATGAAGCAGATGGTAGGAGTTTATCAGAAGGCAAGGGTGTCCCCCATTAGGGACTCAGCCAAGGCATCCTAGTTCACAGCAGAAAACTAGAAGAAGCCAAACGTGGGCAGTCAGGCCCTGGGGAGGTGGCCAGACATCCTGAAGGACTGGGAGGAAGTCTAGTTTGCGAGGCAGGTGACAGCAGCAAGCATTTGTGTCCAGACTAGGAGTTACCTGGGCAGGGTCCACTCACAATGAGGTAAGGCATTAGGGAGATGCAGGTGAGATAGAGTAAACTGAGAGGGAATCCAGGAGGAGGTGGTACTTGGACGTTAAAGCAGGTGGCACTGCCAAAGGCTGTCTACAGATGCCGAGATGCTGGTTTCTGGGGACATGAGGGAGCTGTTAAGAACAAGGCAGGACTTGAAGTGTACTAAGCTGGCTGTGAAGACAGAGAATCAGTCACAGAGGCCCAAGGCAGAAGTCCAAGTTATCACAGCTTAGATGGAGCCCCGCTGGTAGCAGAGATGGCTTGATGTAGAGCCTGGGAGGGTTGGGTGGGGCTCCTGAAATCTTTTGAATACAAGATCAGAATTAATTGTAGGGACTGAGACAAAGCTAAAACCTTAAGTGAGGAGGAGGAAGGAACAGTCACTGGAAAGCGAGTAGGCCTGCCTGTGGGAGAATTGCCTTTCACATACATTGTGTTGGGTTTTCTTTATTTTCTTCAGCAGCTCTGGCAGATATAAGATTATTTTTAGTGCCCAGGGTTAATGGATTCATCCCATCTGGGACTCTCTACAATACTGCCATCTCTGTGCCCTTGGCTTAGACTAGATAACTTTATGAAGTTCCTTTGGTCGTGGTTGTAGCAACGTGGTACAAAGTCTCTGGAGTCAGACTCCCCGGCTTTCTATCCCAGCTCTATCCACCTCTCATGACTGTGTGGCCTTGGCTGGGTTCCTCAGCCTCTCTGTGCTGCAGTAGAAATGAAGAGGATGAAAATACCTTTCCCGCGGTGTAGTCCTGAGGGTTAAACGGGATGGTATGTAAAAGGTGTAGGACAGTGCCTGGCACATACTGCTCAGTAAGCTTTCCTGTTACAATCTAACTGGAAATAAAGTTCTTTAGGGAAGACTTTAGATGTTAACAGTCATTGTTACCTACTGGGTGGATGGTTCCATAACAAGGTTAAACCTAAAAAGTAAATACTGCAAAAAATCATTCCTATTTATTTGGCCTTATAAATCTTTAAAAAGCAAGATTTTTCTCAATAGAATTGACTTACAGTGAATTTTAGTGAAAGATTGCCCAACTTAGAGGTAGAAATTTGGGATATGAGTCCTTGCTGTACCCCTTCTGGCTTTGTGAGTTCTGGCAGTTTTTCCAGTGTCTCTTGCTTACTCTCCTTATCCATGAAAATTACCGGTCATGGGGACAACAGCCTACCTCACAGAATTATCGTGAGAATCACATGAGACGATAGACCAAAAGCATTTTTAAATAACAGGATGCCATGTGTTGGATATTTTTATTCCCTGGACACGAACCTACTGTAAGTAAGAAAAGGTTAGTTGTCTGTCGAGTTGGCAGGAGGAAACCATTCTGGAATTTAAAACTGCAATACAGTGAATTCACCCTAGCTGTGAATATTAATGTATTAAGGTTGCCAGGTGGGCCCCCAAACACAGACAAGTATACGGTCATTTCCAAGAACTCTTCAATCTCCTTCCTTCTGTGCCATTCTCTTAACAATAGCTAGATTGTGGTTTTGTTTTTTATTTCCTCTCTGCCCACACAGAGAACTCAGACCCCAACCCAGTGAATCCTTGCTATGATGGGAGCCACACATGTGACATGACAGCTCAGTGCCATCCAGGGACAGGTGTGGAATACACCTGTGAGTGCGCACCTGGGTACCATGGCGATGGAAGGAATTGTGTGGGTAAGAGCCATATGCTTTGTGTTCTTTCATGGGGTCCTCCAGTGCTCTACGTATAACAGACAAGTGCCTGTCTTCTTAATGATCGCCATTCATCAATGAGTTTAGCAGCTGTTAATGTAAAGAAGTGATTTATAAATGAAAGCATACTCTGGTTAGGTTTGAGAGGGCAGCTTAGAGGGTAGGTATTTGGGATGGGGACTGTGAAAAGATGTCTACTGCAATTCCTGGATAGCTTGAGTTCTTAAGGTTTTTTTTTAAAAGATTTTATTGGGGAATTGGGGGAGGGGAACAGTGTTGGGGAACTGGGGGAGGGGACCAGCCAAATTGTTGTTCTTCTTCACTCTTCATTGTGGAGGGTGCCAGTCGCCATCTGACTTCCCGTTGGAAGCTCATGGCCTCTAAGCTCAAGGTGCTGTGTTCAATCTTAGCTGCGGGTGGGCGTAGCCACCATCCCATACTGGAGTCAAACCCGGCAGCTTTGTTGTTAAGAGCACATGCTCTATCCACTGAGTCATCCGGGCAACAGCTCAGCTCAAGGTGCCGAGTTCAGTCTTAGTTGCAGATGGGCTTAGCCCACCATCAAACAGGCAGTCTTGTTGTTACACCAGCTGTGCCATCCTGCCACCTCTTGGCAGCTCAGTGACAGCTCAGCTCAGGTGCAGCGTCACTAGCCCATATGGGAATCGAACCAGTGGCCCTGTTGCTCAGAGCTCACGCTCTTAAGCCAATTCTTAACCAACTGAGCCACTCAGCTGGCCCCTGAGTTCTTAAGTTTTTTAAGTGTAAGTCTGTATTAAGTATTTCTTACATTTACTAAAAAGTATGTTTTCTGGCTATATTTAGATTTCAGACATTATGTTTCTTTCACCTATTATGTCCCAAAAAACAGCAGTAGAAATTTACATGTTAAAAGAAAAATTGTTATAGTGTTTTTTCATTTAAATGTTCAGCATGTTTAAAGAATTCTCAGAATATTTGAATATTTGTTCAAAATATATCTCTCTGTGGCTTATACTTAAATGACCTGAAATATACGTTTGTTGTTCATGATGATCTGCAACATGCATCCATATTTCGTATTTAAAAATCCTACATTTCAACTCCTATTTTGTCCACCAATTGTTAGTCCCATTGAAGCCTCATAGGGTAAGAAAAGATTGAGTTTTTAGAGCGTCCACTTGTGGGACTCTTGATTGAAGCAGCACTTTTCTGTTCATATTTCCTAGATTTAAATGAATGTGCAACCGGCTTCCATCGCTGTGGCCCCAACTCTGTGTGTATCAACTTACCGGGAAGATATACGTGTGAATGCCGGAATGGCTACGAGTTTGCAGACGACCAGCACACTTGCATCTGTGAGTGCCAAACTCATTCCTCTTTTTGGCCAAAATGATGCTGAATCTTTGATTCATTAATATTTCCACTTTTGTACAGAAGCTCTGCTGTGTGGTTTTCTAGAAAACAGAAAATTCTCATTGAAATAACCCAAAGCTATGGCTCAGTCCAGTCCTGGTTTTTTGTTTTGTTTTGGTTTGGTTTTTGTTGTTTTTCTCTAAATAGATATTTTTGGTGTTGAGTGTTTGAAGGATGTTCACCTCAGTTGGGATTCCTGTGTGTCTTGGTATTTGGCCCAATAATGTAACAAGACTATGAACCTCTTTAATAAATAACAACAGCTCTAGGTGGAGGTCAGATATTTCTCAAATTAGAGTGAAATGGATTTGTAATTCAAAGATAGTTGTCCCACTTGACCAGCCAAAGAGCTCCATCTATAATAAATACACCATTTCTAGAGTTCCAAAAAAAATGCTTTGGACCTAAAAGTGGATCCAAAAGAACTAGAATTCCAAGTTCACCCCATTGGTAGAGCTAGGTGATATTAGGTGATATTAATTCAGTGGGATGAAAAAGTAGCAGTGATCGTAGAGACTGTGTATGTGTGCACCAGTTTGGGGAGTTACCAACTTTAAACAAAGACTATTTTGATGATTGATCTTCATGCCTAGTGTTTTAAACCCAAACCCAGATTATTTGCATATACACCATCTAGTGACCTTATTAAAATTCAGATTCTGATTCCCTGGTTCTGGGCCGGGGCCTGGGAATCTGCATTCCTTATAAGCCTCCAGATGTCCCGATGCTGCTGATGTGCACATCACACTGTGAAGAGCAAGCCTCACCCATTTGTAGACTTGAACTCTTGAACATCCTTGCCTTCTTCTCTTTCTAGTGGTTGCCCCGCCTCCCAACCCCTGTGAGGATGGCAGCCATACCTGTGCTCCTGCTGACCAGGCCCGGTGCGTTCACCACGGAGGCAGCACGTTCAGCTGCACCTGCCTGCCTGGTTATGCTGGCAACGGACAGCAGTGTGCCGGTGAGTACCTGCAGCTCAGCCTCAGCGACTGTGGACAGTCACCTTGGACGCACATCCCCACATAGCCAGGACCTCTCTCAGAAAGGGCCCCTCCCTTCCTTTGACTCACACAGCCTTGGAATTGCCAAAAGAGAAAGAGGAAGGGTGTCCTCTGAGTCAGAAAGGGTGCTTTCCCTTGGATTAGATTGTTGAGCATATATGGTTGTCCTTCGTGGAAACATGCCTGGAGCACTGGGGAGCCACTGTCAGCCTGTAACCTTCTGTTCCCTGGAGCCTCATACAGGCTGGAGGAACTCAGGGAAAGTCATAGGTTCTCCTGTTAGGATGTCTCCATCTTTCAGTCTCTTTGGTTATTGGCTTAATTCAGCGCTTCCAGTCATGCCTAATTTTTAGTTGCTATTCCCCTGCTTGAAGCGATAGTTTAAGCTATATCTAAACATACATATAATTCTTTCTCTGTTTTTCCCCCTCTCTTCTCTCTCTGTGGAGAGGGAGAGCGATAGATAGATAGATAAACTCCACAGATATAAAATGATATTAACGCATACCTAAGTACATAAAATTTTTCTCCCAGAAATCGAACTACTTTTAAGACTTCATACAGCATTTCATAAAATCATTAAACCAGAATGAAGGATTAACTATTTGAATTTAACTTAGAAATAATGTGTGAGGTGGTTACTGAGTGAGGTGGTTACTGAAAATCTAGGCATAATACTCTGGGTATAAATCATCATGAAACTGGGATTAGTAGTATTTTAATCTAGAAATTATTCCATGTAAATCTATATAATCCACTGAAGGTTTTCAAAATGTACCCAGTGGCATGTGATTGAATTGAAACTCAAGTTCATGGTGTCTGTCCATCAGTAGAACACACAAATTATGGTGAAATGAGACACTGGGAGTGAGAGAGTGGTGGGGAAAGGGTTTGGAATGGAAAAGGGTCTATCTTAGGAACATAAACCTAAACAGCAGACTTCTTCCAACTCCTTGAGTTGCTGCCTCCATCTGCCACCGTACACCTGGGCCCATTGGGCTGATTTGCTAAGAACAGCCTTAGAACTCCTGCGAGCCTCGTAACAGATCTAAATAGCCTGCCCCTCACTCCTCACCAGAGGTTTGACTCTTGTCCTTCTCCCTTGTCCTTGTTCCTTTTCCTGTTGGTTTCAGCAGCACAGACTGACTGGACCAGCAGGCTGAAGCCATATATTACTGACCAAATGTGTCAGGGCAGCACAGCCCTCCACTCCTTTCTAGGTGTGGCGGGCTCTTTGGTATCACCTGAACCTTGCTCTTTAGTCAATTAACGTTCCCACTTCTGTACAGAAGCTTTGTTTATGGTTTTCTTGAAAACGCGGTTTATATTGAAATGACCCAAAGCTGTGCCTCTTAGTTCATACCTGCCCCCCTGCAAAAAACACCTGCAGCTTTAAACAGAGCTCAAGTGTTTCTCTAATTAGAATGAGGTAGATCTGTAATTGACAGATGCTTGTCACACTTAACCAGCCAGAGCGCTCCGTCTGTAATCGATACTCTCTTTACAGATGGGGGTACCCTCTACAGGTATGGGGGGTCAGGGTGTGGAGCACAGACTCCTTGTTTCTGTTAAACCCCACAGTGGGAATAATGCTTTTTCTACCCTTGTGGAACTTATCATTCACTTTGATTTAACACACTATTGATTTCTAAGAAATGCAAATGCATAGGAAAAAAAAATCTTGTCAGTAGAATTTCATATTTAAACATCTGGCTGCTCAGGTCAGCAGAGATGGTGTTTGTAAAGTATTTAATTCCTTAGGTCTTTAGTTTAAAGCAAAGAAGTTGAAACTAATTGCAGCCTAGATGTGATGAGTGTTAATCATTCATCAGAATGTTAATTGAGGTTAAATGCTTCTTGCCCTAATCCCATCTAGGATCGTTCTCCCTCCCTTCTTTTAACTTCTAGTCTGTTCTATAAGACTTGGGTTACCTCTCTGGTTCTCTGCTTTTAGAATTCTCTCTGGAACCCACAAACTTAAAGATATGGGGAACCCCTCACTTGCTTCCCCAGTGTGTTAGTTATCTATTGCTGCATAACAGATCGCCCCCAAATGTAGCAGCTTAGAACAATACATGCCTGTTATCTATAGGTCAGAGACATGGGGGTGGCTTAGGTGGGTCCTCTGCTTTAGGACCCTCACAAGTCTGCAATCAAGGGGTCTGGCAGGCTTGCCGCCTCATCCGATGGACCAACTGGGGAAAGAGCCTCGCATGCTTATTGGCAGGATTCAGTTCCTTGAGGACTGTTGGACTGAGAGCCTCAGGTTTTTGCTGGCTGTGGCCTGGAGGTGACATCAGCTTCTTGCCACACGGATCTCTCCAACACAGTAGATTCCTTCATCAAAGCCAGTGGCAGGCAGCACATCTGTTAGCAAGATGGAAGCTATAATCACAAAAATGACATCCCCTCAATATGGCTTTTGTGTATTGGTGAGAAGCAAGGTACTCTGGGAAAGGGGATCACACTAGACTGTGAATACCAGGAGGTAGGGATCTCTGGGGCTATCTTAGAGGCTGCCTCCCACTGTCAGTTACCATATGATTATCTTCCAAGCTTTCAGACTGTGTGGTGCTAGAGAAGGAAGAGTCATTTTCCTAGTGACCTGTGCCGCCATGCGTAAATCAGGCTGGGCTAGTCATGAAGGTGACTTGCAGGATAAGCCTATTGTGTGTGTGTGCTTGTGTATATGTGTGTGTGTGTGTGTGTGTGTGTGCGCACATGTGTGCATATTTAAAGGCATGCCACAGTGTGCATGCATCCATGACTATACAGATAGAGAAAACAGAGAAAAATAGAGATGAAGCCTCTGTTCTGTGGAAAGTGTGCATTCTTGAAGCACACATATTTTCTTTTTATTCCATCAAACCAGCAGTAAAAGGGTGTGTGAGTTTTTCTCCAGCCAGTTTTTTTTACAAACCAGGTTCCCTGGAGAGGCTGCACTTGGCTTTGGGCTCTCAATCTACTCTTAGTCACTAGCGGGAATTACTTTATCCAAGTAGAGTTAAATCGTTCCTAGCCTCCCTCAGTCTGGATGGATTTCAGCCCCGTATTAGTATGAGCTGGATATTTCTCAGGCATGTTTGTTCTTACAGATTTTTGGTGACTTCTTGCCTGTTGCCAAAGCAGATTGCTTTGAGTTGGGACCTTTCCAGGGAGGAGCAAGTGTGAATTGAGGAACTGGGTTCCAGATGGCCTGTTTCCCAGAGCCATCGCTGCTCAGGAGGGTTATGAGGGGTGGTACTTACATTATTCTCTCTCAGGTTTCCTGTTCTAAGAATATGATGTTGGGTGAGGTATGGTAAAGCTGGTATAGCCACAGGAGAAGAGAATAAGGCTTAAGAGGAAGAAGTATATTATACTCATAGGTCCCAGAGAGGCGGTCATCGTGTGCCTCGCAGGTTCACACAGGGCCACACCCAGCCGGGTGGGGCGTGAGAACTTGTGGGCCGGAGCCTTTATTGGGGTCCAGAGTGGGATGGAGGTTAATTGGCACCAGGAAATTTCACTGTGTGGTTCGAAGGCAAACCAGGTAGGGGTGGGGGGAGTTAGGGAGAGGGAGAAGCTACGGTCTAGTCTGGTGGTTGAGTTTGTTGCGAAGGGATTTCAGCTGGTTTTGGGTGTGGGTTCAGATTTATGGCACTGAGAAGAATGCGGAAGCACCAAAGCATGGACTAAAAATGGAGGATTTTTAACACACTTTCCAAAAAACAGGTTTTTGCCAGCTTAATAGATGACAGAATGGAGAATTAGGCTGAGATTGTGCCATCATTTATTATCTCAATGGTAAAGGAGCTCTACTACGCCTCGAACTTTGTTGACCTCAATATTCTAAGAGCCCCTAAAGCCCCTTGACAGTGCTTGAGCATAAATACAGCCCCCTCGCCAACGGTATAACAAGGAAAGCTCCTGCCTCACCCAGGGGCTGCAAGTCCACACTTTCTCGCCTGACATCCTGTGAAATAGGGAAGAGTTATTCTTTACACAAAAGCTCCAGTTCCCCCAAAACTCCCCTCGGTGTTTGCACTCCTGAGTGGGGACTGTCGTCTGCTCTGAGCTCAGGCCCTGGAGTGGCTGACCAGACTCGGTTTCTTTTGTAGCGCAAGGTCCTCCAAGGGTGTCAGGGACAGCGCTTCAGTGAGCCTTAACCTTCTCTAAATTTTGGGGGACGGGCTTCTCACGAGTGGTGCTTTTAGTCTCCTCGGGGACTTCCTTCCTAATGGTCATTTATAACAGTTACTGTCTCCCCGTGACTCTAGTGTCCGGGGAGGTGGCTGCTCTTTCGGGTCTGATCAGAATTCTAGGCCATGGGCGTGAAGAACATAAGTAACTTCGTAGCTCCGGAGAGTCCCCACTCTCTTAGTTTAAAAATAATTACAAGACGCTGATCCATGACTTCTAGAAATAGGCCCTGTGTCTCAGGAATTCCTGCTTCCTGTCATTGCCTGGGTTCCTGTGACCATGAGAAGTACTTTTAGCATATGTATTTTGAATAGATTTAATTTCCTGCATTTGGCTGGATGTTAATTTTCACAGCTTTGGTTTTATAGCCAACTTTACAGCCTCTTCCAGGCTTAAGGAACTGGATGGTCACCAGCTTTGCCCAACTGGGCATTTGAATTGTGCTTTAGAAGAGACAGAGTGCCAACCTCAAGGCTAATTAAATATGACAATATAGAACTCACATTCATTAGATTGGAGATAGTTTTGGTTACTGTTTTCATTTGGTTTATTTGGGGTTTGAGTAGCCTTGTTTGCTTCTAACCTTGCAGATGAATTTATAACTACATTTCTGCCTTCGTAGGTGAAAGGAAGGTGACCATGGAGGCTGACTGCTCATCTGGGCAGAGCCTTTCTGGGTGGCATTAAGCTTGGTTGTGTCGAGCATTCAGGATGTTTTTGGACTTAAGGGAGCTAATTTATGTTGACTAATCTCCCTCGAGACTGAGGATAAACAGAATGGTAATTTGCTAATAACAATGTAAGAGGTTCCTCTCCTGTGAACAGAAGGTCTGTGTTGAATGTCCCATGTATCCGCTTACTGGTACCTAGGAAGGTCCCTTAGTCATGGGCAGGTGACTCAGTGAGCATGTTGTCACAGTCAGGGTGGCACTGATAACCCTAGAAGAGATTCCATCTGGGTCACAGGCGGCTGGGGGAGGAGCCACCTCTGTCCCCAGCTGATTCACATCAAAGTCAGGGCCATAAGTCTCTGGCTTCCTGGGTCCCACTGGCCCTGCCCTGGGGCGGAACCGATTGTTGCAGTTCACCCCTCCTGGAACTCCTGTTTTCCAGGTTTCACACTGGTCATCTCATCCCATGTTTTTTTCCTATTCACACATTTTGAAAGTAGTTTTTGGATGTTATTGTGGACATGACTACTTTATTTTCAGTGGAGCCTAGATCAGACCTACACCCTTATCCTCTTCTTGCTTGGGAGGACTTCCTGTCTCTGAAGATAGCCAGTCTCAACCGCTGGGCATTAGTTTGAATAGTTAGACTCAGAGGTGGCTTTCTTTGTGGTTGTTGTTTAGTTCGTGTGTGTTGTGGGGGGTGGGGGAAGGGAGTTGAGTGCCTTATTGTCAACATGTACTGATTTTAGTAAATAAAAGGAATATTAGTTGGCTTTTGTTTGAAGTTTCAAGATGCTATAGTTTTGAGATGTATGAAAATTATCCCTCATGGTACTGTGAGAACTATTTGTACTTATAAGCTTGATAAACTTATAATGATAGTAACTTATAATGATAATGATAAACTTATAATGATAAACTGCTGTTTCAAAACCCCTGATATTTTTCTTATACTTTGCTATTTTTTTTTTAAAGTGGAAAGTAAAGAAAATTTCTGATTAACAGGGCATTCTAGATAGTAGGACTCTGATTAAACAAGACTGAATGTCCTTCTAACTTAGCTGAAAGAGTATTTAGCGCCTCATGGCTTCTCTGCATTTGTAAGCCAGTGCCATAGGGAGACAGCGCCAACAATGAAAGGAAAAAACTATTGTTACATATATTTATTATAGTGTACTCAAAGGAAATGATATCTAGTCTAAAGGTTAGTTCAAAGGTAATAGCTTCCTGGAATTCACTGTAGATGAAAGATGCTCTAGAAATATACTGCAGGATGTATTTTTCTGAGTGACCACCGTTGGAGTTCTCCACTGAGCCTTCTTGGTCTAATGGGTTAATTCACGTGTCCCTAGACTCCGTGCTGTTACGCTTGCCTTTAGGTCAGCATGTTTCTGCTCACGCCCAAAGGTCTTCTGAAGTTGATCCCCCATCATTGATCCACGTGCACTAAGGCCGTATAGTAGCACAGATCAAGTGCAGTGAAGTCATGCTGTCCTGCCTTTCCTCCCTCCCTTTCTGTCCCTGTTCTGACCTCTGCAGATGTTGATGAATGTGCGGAAAACAGATGTCACCCCTCGGCTACCTGCTACAATACCCCTGGTTCCTTCTCCTGCCGCTGCCAAGCTGGCTATCACGGGGATGGACTTCAGTGCACACTTGGTAAGGTTCGGAAGGCCAGCTTAGGATAGAGAACCCCTGGCTCGTTCAGCGCTGTTTTCCTACAGTACTTCAGCCCACTCTCGAGTTATCTAGGTCTGAGGCCTGACTGGATCTTCCAGGATCTAGATTTTTTTCCTTCAGTTCCATCCAGCTGCCCAGTTTACGGATAGTTCACTGGCAGTTAGCATTCTGGGAGGCCCAGTGTGTGACCCATCCATTGTCCCACCTAGTAGCAATTCTGGTTAACTGCCCTAGTGATCTGTTTTGCCTTGTAAGTGCGATTTAGATGAAGCATTGAGATTAAGTTTACTGAACAGAAGTCATAGGCACTAGTGAGCTGGGAGCAAGGTCCTACGTGACTGCTCCAGGAGAACTTGCAATCTAGTGACAGCCATTGACCTGGAGCTGCTCAGACTTCAACTCTGGACCTCAGAGGATGAGCAGAGGGTTGTTTTCTCCAGAGTCTCTTGGGATGTTTGGACAGAAGCCACGGTTGCTCTTCATTTTATCCAGACAGCAACAGGAGCCTGTGGGCTGAGGGGAGTGGCTGTTTTATGGTATTGTCAGCTAGGGACTTCTAGGGTGAACCGTGAGAATTAGAGAGATACTAGTAGACAATGGCAGAGCTAAAATAAGAATTCCGGACTCCAAAATCCCAGCGCTTTGCTATTTTCTCCATGTTATGCTGTCATCTAGCTACAGGTGGAAACACCTCAGACAGGAGACTTTGAGGTTGGCTGGTAAAAGTGGGTGGGTTGCGATGCCTTTTGTTCCGCCCTTGTATCTCCTCTTCCCTGGCCCCGTAGCCCCCACCTCAGGACTGAAGCCCTGTGAACACCAGCAGCGCAATGCTCAGGCTCAACACACCTATCCCGGTTCCCGGATCCACATCCCACAGTGTGACGAGCAGGGCAACTTCCTGCCGCTGCAGTGTCATGGCAGCACCGGCTTCTGCTGGTGCGTGGACCCTGACGGTCATGAAGTCCCTGGGACCCGGACTCCGCCTGGCTCCACTCCACCTCACTGTGGACCACCAGGTGAGCCAAACAGGGGAGAAACTGTGTTCCAGGTTAGGCCTGGGCTTGAGAAACAGAATGGCGCAGATTGTGGGGTAGATTATAACCCCTGCCCAGACCATGCAGACTCAGGGTGGATCCCTGTTCTGCTTCCTAGGAACACTTGGAGGACATGTGCATACCTCTATGCACATTCACGTTACAGGAACATAGAGACATACACATAGGACATATGCGTTAACTGTTCCTCACTGGACACCAGCCTCGTAGCCCTCATAGAGTACAAGACTAGAAGTTGAGATTGAGCGGGCAGGTTAGGCTGAGGCTATTGCCCTAGATCTATTACGGCAGCTTAGAGGAGATGTTAAGACGTCAGGGCCAGAGGATCTTGCTGGCCCAGCCTTTTGCCCAAAAGGATAACTGCCTTCCCATATAACTTTAGTCACTTAACTCTGCCTTCTGAATTGCAGGAAACAGTCTAAAGGCTGTTTTAATATCAATAAGAAAATAAGTATGTCACTTGTGGGTGGACCCTGCTAGTTTGCTCTGTGCTACTAGCCCAGTCCTCTCTGACGGGCCCAAGATGCCCATGGGTCCGTGGGTCCTCATCACTCTTGCCCCAGCCTCCTCTAGAAGTGACGCAGGACCCTGTTTTGTTAACCTGTGTGATCTGAGATGCTGATGACACGTCTATCACTGAGCACTCCCCGTCCGGATGACGCATGGTTATCAAGTGCTCACAAGTTCACGCCAACTGCAGGTGGCCATGGCAAGTTTCTGCTCCTTGCTGAACTGTTCAGCGATGGGAAGATCTTTTTTTATATATATATATATATAAAGAACTTTATTATGAAGAACGTATGATTGGTTTGATACTGTTTTAGCCAGACTAATTCCTGTACCCATGAGCTTGTTATTCCAAGATCCATTTTTATTATTGAAAAGGGTTCCATAAATGCTTTCATGTGTGTGAGTATGAAGAGCTGGATAATTACCACCAGTTTTAATCCTTTTAATAATATTGTTACGGCCAAGGCATCAGTGATTCTAAGATTCACATAGGTAAAAATTGGTAATGCTTAATCTAGATGTATACCCTTGTTTCCACGGTGACACTCCTAGTTCCTCTATCCCTTTTTATTTTTAGGAAAAGATATTGAGGTCCAAAAAAAAGAGTGAAAAATCCTGTTTCACTCATGCCTACTCTTTAAAAAGCCTTGGTTCTAACTCCAGCTGGGATTTGAAGAAATCAGATGGTTGGGAGTTGCCTTAAGGGCATGGTTCAGAATTCTAGTTCAATTTATTGGGACATCCATGTGTTAAGGACAGTGATTCAAAAGGGCGCCAAGAGAATGAGAAGTTAATGACTCAAAGAGGGACATATTCTGTGCAGACTTTTTCCCATGGCCCAGATTTCCGTCTTGGAGCTGGTTTGGCCTTGGCTGCCATTGCCGACTAGTCTCATCTGCATAATGGGGTCAGCCTGAAGGGGGAGAGAACACACTCTGCTCAACATTTCAAAATATTTAAACCTTGCCAACCAGAAACAGAAGAGCAATAAATCCGTGGTTGGATTGAGAAGTAGCTTCACATAGTAAGGAGTGAGAGGGATGCCCACGTGTGAGTGATGGGAGGTGCCCGTTTCCCAGAAGCTGACTGTGCTGTGTGTCCTCATTCCAAACAGACACGAGCCTCATTGGGTGGTGCCCTGAACCAAGAAAGGACCCTCTGAATTTGGAATGTGGACCAGGGGTGGTGGTGGGAACTTTTCCAGGGAATCCCACCTTGCGATGGATGGCGAGTGTTTGAGGGAGTGGCATTTCCCGCTCTCTCCTGGTTCTTTGAGACACATCTGGATGAGGAAATCAGGCTTTCCTTCTCCATGAGGTCTTAGAAAGCGCTTTGCTTCCCATGGGTCATGAGCTAAGGAGACAGCCTGAAGGGCAGCCACCTCCTCCAAACCTGGTGAGTCTTATAGTTGAGCTAATTGGGTTTGAGCTCTGAGGATTTTATTCACCATCTTCCTGCTTTCCTACAGGAATTGTAGGTGCTAGAGCCCAACTGTAATGTTTCCAACTTGGTTCTTTGAAGACGTTGGAGGCTTTGACCAAAGGAATGACATGAAATGACTTGGTTTTAAAGGGACTCTTCCAGCTGCTGGTTTTTACACTGGGTGGGGGTGGGGGGAGAGGGTGGAAGCGGGGAAACCAGTAAGAAGGTATTGTAGTAATCCTGGAATGAGACGACGGGGCTTGGCCCAGGGTAACAGGAGTGGATGTGGTGAGAAGTGAAGATATTCTGAATGTATTTTGAAGGTACAGCTGACACACCCTGACACATAGAAAGTGAGAGAAAGAAAAGAGTCAAAGACAATTGGGCCTGAGCCATGGAAATATGGAGGTGCAATGTACTCATAAGGAAAAGTCGAGGGCAGAGCAGCTTTGATGGGGGAAAGCAGGGGCCGTTTTTTTTTGTGAGTTCTCTGCGATTTCTGTTATACATTCAAATGGTGATATCAAGTAGCTATTGATACTTGGCTGTATGAGTCTATAGACCATAGGCTTTGAATTGCAGGAAGTAAATAGAAAGTGCTTCTCCTTTTTTAAGTCCCTTTAGGCAATCGTACCATAGATGACTGTACAAGTTATTTGAGGAGCTGTAGCAGAATCCTCTCAGACAGAGAACTGCTGTGTTTGGGACAGAGCTTCGATAGCCTTGTGGAAGCTGACTGGAGTAAACTGCAGGTGGAGAAACTGCTCCGCAAGAGAAGCTAACGGGAGTTTAAGCATGGTGGTGAGCTGCGAGGGAGGAAGACAGGGGGAGGAGCTGGAGAAAGGAGCCAGCAACATGGCAGGAAGCTGGAGCCCATAGAAAAGAGGCAGCTTTGAGATAATCTCAGGAGCAGGGTAACCAAAGGACGTCCAGGAACTGGAGTGTCAAAACAGTATCAAGTTGTTTGCCACCACCTCCACTCTGCTCACATATACCCATTACCATACGTTATACTTTCAGATATGGACAGATACTGAAGGCCATGTAAGTAGGGCATTCAGCAATACTTACCCTTTTTTTTAGATTTTTTTTTTTTTTAATATTGGGGAATTGAGTGGAACAGTGGTGGGGAATTGGGGAAGGGGAACAGCCAAATTGTTGTCCTTTAATCTTAGTTGTGGAGGGCACAGCTAACGCAGCTCCAAGTCCAGTCGCCACCTGGCTGCCTGTCAGTCAACCATCACCAGCTCGCAGCCACTCAGCTCAAGGTGCCGTGTTCAATATTAGTTGCGTGTAGGCATAGCCCACCATCCCATGCGGGAGTCGAACCGGCCACCTTGTTGTTAGGAGCACGTGCTCTCACCAGCTGAGCCATTCAGCCACCTGTTGGCAGCTCAGTGGCAGCTCAGCTTGGGCGCAGCTCACTGGCCCATGTGGGAATTGAACCGGCGACCCTGTTACTCAGAGCTTGCACTCTTGAGCAAGGTCTTAGCCAACTGAGCCACTTGGCCGGCCCCAGCAGTACTTTCTAAGATGCACACTAGCCAGTCTCAAGATAATCCTCTCAAATGCAGGTCCTGGAGTTTGAATCAAATGGGAAAGAATAAATATTTGCTTTAAGCATCATGTAAGTCACTGAACCCCCAAAGCCCCACAAGTGTTGTTAGCAGATATGCCCTGGGCCCCAGGCGGAGTGGTCTGCATGGGCCTCTTCTCTCCTGAGGTCATCCCCCTTCCCAGGCTGAGCAAGCCCTGCACCCCTGATCTTACTGCTTCCTCTTGTTCTTTCCTGATGTGGTGGGGGCTTGATGACAAACCCTTCTGGCGTGGGAAGACAGGAGCATCAGGATGACCCCCTCCTCCTGACTCCTGTGAACTTCTTAAGAGCACTGACTGCTCCGCTCCAGTTCAGGGACTTGGCCGAGGCTTCCTTAATGGACGCGAGGAGGAGGAAGGCCAGCAGGCCAGGCACGGGGATCTTGAACTACATGCTGCATTGTCCTTGGCTCACAATCAAAGGTTTTTTTGTCCCATCTGCTCAGAGCCCACCCAGAGGCCCCGGACCGTCTGTGAGCGCTGGAGGGAAAACCTGCTGGAGCACTATGGCGGCACGCCCAGGGACGACCAGTACGTGCCCCAGTGCGATGACCTGGGCCACTTCACCCCCCTGCAGTGCCATGGGAAGAGTGACTTCTGCTGGTGTGTGGACAAAGACGGCCGAGAGGTGCAAGGCACCCGCTCCCAGCCAGGCAGCACCCCTGCATGTAAGCAACCAGGGGCAGCCCTCCCTCACCCCGGCTGCATCTGAGGTTTCTCATGAGGGGGGCTGCCAGCTGTGCGTGGAGGTGGGCAAACAAGGGGTCGACAAGTCCAGTGAAAGAAGTCACTACTGTGCTGTTGATTTATAATCTGGTCCACCCAAGACCCCAATTTGGATTTGTTTGGTTTTGTGATTAGCAGTTTCTGTAATTGGCACATATGGAACCCAGTACAGCATGCAGTTACTCCCCTTCCCCAGCCCAGGGTGAAAGGGGACGCGTGTCACCCTAGGGCCCCAAAGAGAAGCTGACACAATACTGGCTCTAGTTTAAAGAAAAAAAACAAAAAAACAAAAACCTGCTTTGTTCAGGGGGAAATGTGTTATTGTCTTCCTCCCTAGTAATTGGCAGTGATTTACATAATTGATCCTTGGGAAAAAAAAATCCTAGAAATTAGAATTTCTTTTAAGGAACATCTGGAGAACATCTGTCTAGGATAAAGAACTTTTGATGTCTTTGGAGGCTCTTGTGTGTGGGAAAGTTTCTCCTCTCCCCCAACCCACCGTTTCCTTTCCTCTCTGCTCCTCACACCTTCCTCTTTCCCACGGCAGGTATACCCACAGTTGCTCCACCCATGATCCGGCCCACGCCCAGGCCTGACGTGACCCCTCCGTCCGTGGGCACCTTCCTGCTCTATGCCCAGGGCCAGCAAATTGGCCACTTGCCCCTCAATGGTACCCGGCTTCAGAAGGACTCGGCCAAGACCCTGCTGTCACTGCATGTAAAGTGTTCTCCTGTGGGGGTGGAGCTGCCTCTCCGAGGCCTTCAGATCTGGGCAAGGGCTTGGGTGGAGGGAGGTCCTGGAGGGTTCCTGGGCTGCAGTGTCTATACGGGTCTGTGTGTATAGGGGCCTGCCACCAGCAACGCAGGAAGTAAGGCTCTCCGTTGCCAGGTCATGTCTGACTGACCAAGGCCGCTTTCCCCGTTT